TGTGTGTGTGACGCGCGTTCGTGTCTGCAAGGAAGTGCGCCTTACCACTGGACCATCAAGTCTACAACGTTGTTAGAGTTGTTTTTCTGCGGCTACTGTTTTGCAGACCAAACTGAATAGATAGCCGCGTAGTTGTCTTACGGGTGGTGCAGCATATACTCAACGTCTCAACGCGGTTGAACACTTGAGACCTGCCGCTTCAACCGCCCTCCCCCCTCATCTGCTCATCCTTCGTTTTCAGATCAATACCGAGTATAGGACTTTCAGGGCGCTCGGTATTCGCACAATGGAATTGAATTTTCTAAAGCTACGACGTGTCCCTTTGGACAGAAAGAGACAGGAAATTGAGTCCAGAGTACGAGTCCAGCCTTGCGAGCTCAATCTAGGCCTCCCGGGGTATCAGCAATGGTATGAAATTATTCCACTAGACTTTTTCCGCCAGAGGTATAATTGCCTCAGTGGACATTGAAATTCGGTGAGATTCAAAGATATGAATGTAGATTGGAATGGTTTTTGGTCTAAGCACATACGCAACAAAATGCAGTATTTTGGCATAAAATATTTCATTCCACTCGCAAAGCTTTTGCAGCTAAGTGCATTGTGCGGATAATGGGCACCGACTTTTAGCTCCACGCCAACCGCGTGTGACGTTACCGATAGTGAGCGATGTGGGTCGATGGAACAGGCCAATCCGAAAGTGACCAGCCCACTGTGACGTGCTGTGTTTGTGTAACGAACACCGTTTTCGAGCCAACAATCATACAAGCTTACCCATAGTAATAGTTTACTCCTATGCTGCCATGAGGAAGGAGTGCCATCGCGAAGTTGAAAGAACTGAATCAAACGAGGGTTTCGCTTTGAAGTGCATTATGCACACATGCTAGCTTTTTGCGATTACAGGTCAAATTGTTTCTGTTGTCACTTCCATTTGTGGTCAGGGATCCCTCGGAGGCGTTCTCCGGGTCTGGCGCAAGCGGTGGTTCGTCCGCCCATTCCTTTGTCCCTGCGGTTTGTCGAAGTTTCCCTATGAAAGACAACTCGCCCAAGCTAGACGAACTAATCACAATATACAGGTCATTTTGGCAACTTGTGTCAAAAGACTGACTACTGTGCACAGCCCTTGGATCAGCTCTACTAAACCGATATACAACCATGAGTGAATTTCGCATCAAGGAGGTGGTTACACGGTTGTTGTTGATTCATTAAAACCAACGAAATTGTGAGTATGCACACGCGATTGGTTGAACGCAATGAGCGAACACAGTTGCTTTGCTTGGATGCTGAACACAGTCACGTCATGTGGGCCTGGGACGCTGTTGTAGGGATGGTATGTTTAAGATTATTGACTAATCCAATAGTAACCACAGTGGTTATCCTACACAAACCTCTATTACCACTGGACCATCAAGTCTACAACGTTGTTAGAGTTGTTTTTCTGCGGCTACTGTTTTGCAGACCAAACTGAATAGATAGCCGCGTAGTTGTCTTACGGGTGGTGCAGCATATACTCAACGTCTCAACGCGGTTGAACACTTGAGACCTGCCGCTTCAACCGCCCTCCCCCCTCATCTGCTCATCCTTCGTTTTCAGATCAATACCGAGTATAGGACTTTCAGGGCGCTCGGTATTCGCACAATGGAATTGAATTTTCTAAAGCTACGACGTGTCCCCTTGGACAGAAAGAGACAGGAAATTGAGTTCAGAGTACGAGTCCAGCCTTGCGAGCTCAATCTAGGCCTCCCGGGGTATCAGCAATGGTATGAAATTATTCCACTAGACTTTTTCCGCCAGAGGTATAATTGCTTCAGTGGACATTGAAATTCGGTGAGATTCAAAGATATGAATGTAGATTGGAATGGTTTTTGGTCTAAGCACATACGCAACAAAATGCAGTATTTTGGCATAAAATATTTCATTCCACTCGCAAAGCTTTTGCAGCTAAGTGCATTGTGCGGATAATGGGCACCGACTTTTAGCTCCACGCCAACCGCGTGTGACGTTACGGATAGTGAGCGATGTGGGTCGATGGAACAGGCCAATCCGAAAGTGACCAGCCCACTGTGACGTGCTGTGTTTGTGTAACGAACACTTTTTTCGAGCCAACAATCAGACAAGCTTACCCATAGTAATAGTTTACTCCTATGCTGCCATGAGGAAGGAGTGCCATCGCGAAGTTGAAAGAACTGAATCAAACGAGGGTTTCGCTTTGAAGTGCATTATGCACACATGCTAGCTTTTTGCGATTACAGGTCAAATTGTTTCTGTTGTCACTTCCATTTGTGGTCAGGGATCCCTCGGAGGCGTTCTCCGGGTCTGGCGCAAGCGGTGGTTCGTCCGCCCATTCCTTTGTCCCTGCGGTTTGTCGAAGTTTCCCTATGAAAGACAACTCGCCCAAGCTAGACGAACTAATCACAATATACAGGTCATTTTGGCAACTTGTGTCAAAAGACTGACTACTGTGCACAGCCCTTGGATCAGCTCTACTAAACCGATATACAACCATGAGTGAATTTCGCATCAAGGAGGTGGTTACACGGTTGTTGTTGATTCATTAAAACCAACGAAATTGTGAGTATGCACACGCGATTGGTTGAACGCAATGAGCGAACACAGTTGCTTTGCTTGGATGCTGAACACAGTCACGTCATGTGGGCCTGGGACGCTGTTGTAGGGATGGTATGTTTAAGATTATTGACTAATCCAATAGTAACCACAGTGGTTATCCTACACAAACCTCTACTGAACCGAAGAATTTGATCAACGTATGATATTAAGGCTGAAAAGAAAGGTTTATGGTCTCGGATAGTAATAATAATAATCGTTCAACCATAATACCCTTTTGGTGCGTAGCTGCCATGCCAATGGAATGGGGCACGAGGACTGGGATACTGTTAAGTTTCCCAAGCCTAGACAGGAGCAACGGAGGTGCTGAGGTTGGGTTCGAGCCAAGGACCTTCAAGTCCTTAAAGTGGTGCTTTAACCACTGGGCTTCCGGATAATATTGACTCGCATTTTATGTTGATATATCCCATATTTTGTGATGGGAATGGTAGCTAACTTCATGACGACCTGACAACCCTACAACGATAAGCGGACTAAGAAAGCAAACACTGCGTGCAGTGATATGTCCCGATGCAATTTAAACAATCTGAATTCCATTTGGTTTTCACGAGAGACTCAACTGAATCTCTCGCCTATGATATTCTACAACTGAATGTGCTGCACACAGGCCGCCTCATGATTCAGTTGGCACGATATTCGAGATATCGCAGTATATTTTCATAAAGGAAACTACTCACAAGGTTGCTGTCGAAGAGTTTTCAGTAACCTTGCGAGTAGCTTCTTTTACGAAAATCTGAATTACACTTTTGATGACTAGTTTTGCTTAGACACTTGTACCAGGTCATGCAACAATGGTAATTGTCCAGGGAACCCTTGCATTTCTGGCACCTGTTTACTTCGTGACATTTCCAGACCAAGCGAATGTATTCAATTATCATGCATGAACAGTTGGTTGTACCCAGTAATCATTCAGTTGAGTCCTAATTGATAACGTCCATGTGACAGTTTCTTGTCCACTAGTCTCCTGATCTCCAGCAATCTCACGCCCTACTTGAATAGCCAATTTTACTTGTATGGCTATCAGCACTCCTCTGCGAATTAGTTGGTGTGTTTTCGTCCTGTAGGTATAATTTGGTGTTCGAGTTGGGCGTAAAACTGATGCAAATTTGGATGTTTCGGATACTTGATGATCCACAAGAAGGGCGAAACTGTCCCTGTCGGTGCGTCCTGTGAAGGATCACCTTATTCCCTCCACAGTTCAAAGTGACGAGTTTCCTGGTCCTGGTAATTCTGTCTTCACCCTAGCCGCAACTCAAACAAAGGCCTTTTTCCATCTTTGTGTATTTTAGATATCCCGCATGCCATGCCAGTTGGTGTATGCGTCAGACACCAGCTTCTGGTTCGGGGCTCTCTGTATCTTTCAGGTGCTCGAAGTCGATTAGAGACAGCAGTTAGAAGTCCCATTTTTATGTCCTAGTTCCGCGCTGCTCCCTCCGTAACTTATAACTTTTCTCACCACTCCTTTTTCGACCGGTTACTCAGTCCTGAGTCTTTGTACGCTCGGAAAATGCTAACCCCTGAGTCGCATTTTGGTTCTTTATGTGAGTGGTCGACGGCGATGTATCTGATACAAGCACTAGGGCAGGTTTACTCTTGAAGCTGATCGATACTGTACAACTGGATATCGCTCAGCACGTGACTTTTATGTCCATGTGTGATGCTTTCCATTTGTCAATACTGACGATCACTGTTTTCTGTAGACCACAGGGTTTTGATCGTCCATCCACATTCTTTGCAATAACTCACTTTCCAGATGTTCTCTATTTTATGGATTCACAGGTGTATGTACCAAATTTTATTGTTCCAAGTATTCGGATGTCTGAGCAACAAAGTCTCGTTCGTTGTATTGAACCAAAACTGTGAGGAAACCAAAAATGTGTGAGAGTCCGAAATCGTTTCACCGAAGAGACCGTTTTCTTGGACCTTCATCATCGTTGACAGCAACACCATTGCAAGAACGCCTGTGCTTCATTGGTGTCTTCATTTCGTCAGCTGAACACAAAAACTACAATAACCACTTGATCGTGGGACTAGTTCCATACCCCTTGATTGGGATTGTCACTGTCTGTGACTTAAATGTATTCCCTCCCTTCCCACATCTCAAACCTGGGCCATTTTTCTAGCCTCTCAAAATCCAGCCTTGATTGGATGTGGTTTTTCCATTGTCACATCGAAAGCATCTCATGATTAGATTCCATTTTAAGTCGATGCCCTAGGCAAGCGTTGTTATACTTTAAAAAATGTGAATAGGCTTTGAACTGTCGCCGAGTCAAATGGAAGTCCGTCCGTCTTCCCACTTGTAATTTGCGATTCACCCGTTACGTATCGTTTGTGGGTTTACTCCAATCCCCTCCATACATCACTTTTTCTCTGTCTAGATTTCAACACCGCCCCACCCCAACGTCAGTGGCGAAAACTGGATGAGCTGAGCAAAGATGGATGTGAGTCTTGTGGAATAAGTGCCCAAATTTGTAAATCTGAATATTTTTGTTTATCTACGTGATTTCATTTCCTCATGTTTTGCCTGTGAAGCGAAGACCGATAGAGCAACATATGACGTAGGCAAGGCAACGGTACAAGTCGGACAGGAAATCGGTCACGAGGAAAAATAGCCTAACAGATGTTCACTGATTGGCTGATAGTCCTACAATCCAATAGTCACGACTGCGAGCAGAAAAGTTAACATATAAGGAAATACCCACAGGGGTATGTATGTCACGCGCACGCATGTGATCCACTAGCCGCTAGTCCATCTGTCTGATTCAGTGCACTGGTTTTTGTCCCCCTATTTGTTTTCACCACAATCAACCCTCGTTTCACTACTGACCGCTCTATGCCTGTTTCCGATCAATTTTTATTCAATTGTATTTGATACGAACCTATTATTTCCCTCTCGACCCTCGAATCCACACGGCGAACTTGAACAAGTGCAGGAAATCAATTCAATCAGCTATTTAATCAACCACAAACCTGTAGCATGTGTACGTCGGTTCCACCTGCTACATTTTCGCTCACCGGGAAGACCGGAACTCCCATCACCGACTAACTTATCTTCCACAGGAAACTGGAGGAATTCCAAAACGTCATAACAGTAATAATGATTTTAGAAGTAATAATAATAATCGTTCAGCTGTAAAACCCTTTCGGTGCTTGGCTGCCATGGCACCCGAAGAAAGCACGAGGGCCGAGGTATTGTTAGGTTGCCCAAACCTAGACAGGAGCAGTCAAGATGCCAGAGTTTGGTTCGAACCACGGAGCTTTCGGTCAGGAAATTCGCGTTTTAACCGCTGAGTTATTTCGAGCTCATCTATCCTGTCTGGTTATTCGCGATCAAAGTTTGTCATGCTGTATCCGCGGTTCATTCAACGTGTGTGTCGAAGAGAATGATGCACATGTCAAGTGAAGGTTCCTTTTCACACAACTGAACAGTATCTTTGCAATTATATGTCAGATCTCACCCTGTTGTTGAACGTGCAGAGTGGTCCCATCGGACCAATTTTCAGACACAGAGCTTAAGTGCCAAGATGCACAGAGTGAGATGTGTTGCGATTCGAGCGCGTGTGTCAGCTGGATTTCATACCCTTGTCACTTTTAGTTCAGGTGTGGAGGTGAGGTTTCTCACGGAGTTTAGTTTAGCTGGAAGTGACAGTTTGTACAGCGAGGCAGCTGCTTGTTTGTATGCCTAACCTTCCTTCCGATCAGTTCAACCTTTTTTCCAGACTCACGGAAGGATCACGGTTTTTCGATCAATTGGAAAAAGCTTGGTATTGATCGAGAAGTCGTCGTTTCAGAAGGGGTTCGTAAATCTACTGATTGTTTACCAAGCTCTTCTGGAACGATTACGGTTTTTTCAGTCCCCTCGTAACCACTATTTGTGACAGTGTGCCACGGAGTGTAGGCTCCGTCAATTTGTCGGCCAGCAACAGCACTAAAATCTGAACATTTAGCTGGCACCAATGACGTGTAGATCCATATGAATTACGGAGTCTGATCAGTGACCCCCTGTAGAACCGATGGCAACGGGACGGCACGTGAAGCAAGTAAAAAAAACGCAAGCCGGATTTCGGTATGCGTTGACTCAGCTTTTGGGGAGTTCGAGGTCATTCTTGGGAAGAAATAAGAGAAGAGTTTAGTTGTACAACGAGTAGTAGAAATTTGATAGGGGTGGATGGGTGAGCAAAAACGGGTTGCTTGTTTGAAGCATACGTGCAGAGGGACAGTCAAGGCCAGGTACGATGAAAATCTTCTTCGGATAGTAGGAAATGCTTTCAAGTTATCCGTCTGATAAGAGGTGTGTGTCGGTGTATATTTGACCGATTATATACAAGGGATAAGTAGGGGGAACGGTTTCAGGGGACAGAGAGCATCCACTCATGTGTAGGCAAGCCGTCGCCCTTTTCCAGCGGCCGACACGCACGATTAATCCAATTTTGGAGCAGTAGTTTACCTGGTTTGCAGAAAAGAAGGATATATTGATTTGCACCACCAGAAAAAAAAACAGAAAATCTTTCAGAAGGTCGCGATCCCTTTAATGAATACTAAAGTGTTGTCGCGCAGCATCCCAGTTGGCAAGATTGTCTCCAGATTATAGGGCGATAGGACGTTTTACTTTTTTTTCTAAGGTAAGCTTATGGTTAGATAGATAAGATAAAGGAACAAGGAGGCAGAAAAGTTTGCGTCAGATAAGTGTAACGTGACGAACAGATCCAGGGTTTGTGTAGCGCTGTCATCAGTATCAGGGACGCACTGCTACCCAGCTGTGTACTCGCACCGTCACTTGTCGAACCATTTGCAGTAAAATTGCGAACATATCAATCAACTTCGCTACCCGGTCTACTAGCCTTTTCCATGTCTGTCTTTCCTTGTTAGTCCCCTTCACTTTGATGTGCTACAACCTACTCAGTCCCAACTATGCTACTCCGAACCAGTATCCCTACTGTCCATCATGGGCTCTCAACTGGGATTATCGGCGTCGATCGATATTGGATGAGATCCGGATCTATCATGCGAACATCATTTGTCTGCAGGTAAGTCGGCAACTACACTATTCGCCCAAAAATGTGTATTCATGTGCATGTGGATGTGGATTGCACGTCCTTATAGGGAATCGGAAATTCATCAGGTTGCTTTCGTTGTGACTCTTGGTTTGGCTACTTCATTCGAGTACTTCACGGAAGTTCTTTTGACCTTGCCAATTTAGACCACTTGTGCTTTAAATTGATAAGCTCTAGAGTATACCAATTCACGTCCGTGGTGTCTATATATCAATCGCTTCAGTCCGATTTACCGCACGATTTCTTGTCGCGTCGCCCCCTGCACTTCTCCATCTTAGGTCAAATTTTCACTAAATACTAAACCGGTTCAGCGTAAAGCAACGCCCAGCCAGCCACTTGTATTATCGAGCTTAAAAAACCGCATAATCAATTATCTATGTGAGCGTTCAATTCGCCACTGAAGGTAACTCCAATCACATCTTCTTCATGGATAAGAGGTCGGTTTTACGCATTTTCCGGTGAACAAAAGATAGTCTAGTAGCATAAAACCCTGGAAAAGAAACAGTCGGATACCCAGGATCCATCCGGTTAATTGTACACTGAGGCTAACCAAGGTAACGAGCTGTCCAAGCCCAGATCGTACATACCGTTGCTCGGAGGATCACTGAATGAGGTTCTCACGTTCGGTAAACCGGACAAATAGGTTCTTCGTAAAGTGTGGGCCTCCAAGCCCAGTACATACCGTTGCTCGGAGGATCACTGAATGAGGTTCTCACGTTCGGTAAACCGGACAAATAGGTTCTTCGTAAAGTGTGTGTGTAGCTTTTATGCCACACAAAGGAAGCAGGGAGCTTAGATACTGTCAGTTTGTCAAAGCCTAGATAGAATCAATCGAGATTCAGAGGTTGGCCACGGAACTTCCGGCCAGTAAGTTTGTGCCTTAACCAGTGAACTGTCTGAAGTCTGTTGCGGGTCCTCAACAGTCTCCAGAAAATTTGATAACGCGACTATCGCTACCTCGTATCGGCAGACTGTTGCCTTCGTGAAAAGTGGGTGGCATCATCTTGGCTAGTTTTCGCAACCAGATGCACGCTTTCCTTAATAGATTCCAACATCTTGACACAGATCCTACCCCCTTGTTTCATCGGAGCATTAGCACCGCTTGTCTCACTAAAAAGTCAGAACTACCACACTTTAATACCTTACGAGAGCTGATAATCGCTCTTCATACTTTCTCACGAAATTGTTGAACTAATTAGCTGTCGCATCCACTTCGCTGGAATGTTGTTGTCGTTGGAGGTGAATACCACTGTACAAAACTTGACTAGGTTGTGTGTTAGACCTTGTTTGTGACGACCTCGGTGACTACCATCTGTGGAACCGCTGGTACTTCAATGTGCTTCCAACCCGTTGAGTTACCCTGACATTAGGTTGAACTGAGATGTGAACATGTGAATACCTGGTTTGTTCATCGTTCTTCATAATATATCCTACTGTCTGGGTTCTCTTAACCCGGAGAACCCCCCAGGTATCGTTCAAGATGTGTTAGGCGTGTCCTAGCTTAGTTTGGACTGTTAATGTTAGGCCATATGCTCGATAACAACCCTAATGATGGCCGATCCCTAAAAGCACTTGAGCCAGGTATCTCAAATAAGTTTAAGTGGAACCAGATAAATCGGCCAACTTATGACACTGACCAACGTAGGATTTCAAAAGAATTTTTTCTGGTGGCTGGCGTAAGTCTACCACCAATCAGCCACCAGTAAAGTTTTGCTCGTAGCCCCTTGCTTTGTGTTACCGGTCAATCTGAAGCGCTTCTGCCGGTCATGCAGTGGTCTTGAATCGATTGACCAGCTTCACGAGTCATCGCCTCAAACTCCCCGGTATCGGGACTATCATTCACTCGTGAATAGCTAAGTTTCTGCATCCACACTGGTCGATTGTATTGGTTTTGTACGCACGACTGCCTGAGCGTAGCTGCTGGTCATTCGACCTGTCAACAATTCATCCAATCTTGGTGACTCGATAACAGTCATCTGACTGTCCTCCTGATGTAATCGTGACTGCTGTTCCCACGTCTGCTTATTGATTAACTGAGCACTAAAAAGCTAGTCTGGTGTTGAAAACTGTTTCATTTGGCTGATGTCTGATGGAGTGAAACACATGTCAGTTCTCTGGACCTCAGATACGTATGCCATACACTATTTGCTTCAATCACTCAAAATGGAGTTTTCATAGCGCAGAAATATCCAAACAACAGCCTGAAGTGAAAATGTAACTACCGGTGTCTTCCACTCTGGTCATGTCCATTGATATTCACTTTCGTTACGATTTAGGAATATGCACAGGTGGTAGGTCAAAAAGCTTATTACTGAGCATCAGTAGTATCGAAATTATTTTAACGCGTGGCATTGATCGTCCAAACGGATCGCAAAAGGGGACACTGTCGTCCAAAACCAACGGACAAACCGGCTAATCTCGAATCCGATTCCGCACTTTGTTGGCGGCATATGGCTTCTTTAGGAACACCCAGAGTTCGCTTGCGTAGACGAGATTTGAATCGGGGTCTGTAATACTGTGACGTGTGGTCATTTTCTAACTACATTGGACTTGGATGAATATACATGCTGCAAGTAAGTTCCAGTAAGGAACTTTGTAAGGAAATAAGACCCTCTTGTCCAATGGGACTTGATATGGTATGATGAATAGATTCGCTGCGGTTATTAAGTAAGGAGATAGAGGAATGTTTGGTCGATGTTTCGTGTGGGTGGGTGTGATATTGATCAAGGGCTTATTCGACCTATGCTGGATTATGTCTTCGACCGTACGTAGTGGTCGTTGATGCGTACGTCACAGTCCGCCTGGTTGTCAGAGTGATCTCGATTTAGGTGCGATTTAGAACACCATACTCCGTAGTGTACTCTCACCATATGGATGGACGAGGTTTATAAGTCCGGTAAGTCACAGAGTATCCGCGCACACCCAAATCATCATCATCATCATCATCGACAGCATGACATCAGTGTTCAACATCGATGCTTCACTGCCGTACAACCATGACTTAGTTGCAAGCCTTATTGTAAGGAAAAGAGTAAAGGTGGATGGGGAGTGGACTTAGTGCTAGCTTACCACACTCATTCCGAGGTGCCTACACCTCCAGGCGTTCACTCAAGCAATCTGGACAGAAACTGACAACAAGAACGCCACTGACATCGGTTGGCAGCCATATCTTGTGTCTCCAACCAGGCACAGTGAGGATCACGCGGTCTCCATCCTGGAAGGCGAGTAGCACCGACCGCACCCAAGCGTTTCGTGATCTCCTTCATACTCCTCTGCCAATTCAAGGTTTGGCCATCTCTCTGTTTATGCCACTCCGAATTGGGCATGGAAAACAGTACTCTCTTCGGCAAACGATGGTTCGGCTTACGTAACACATGTCCCAACCAACGCAGCTTCTGGTGCTGGACACATTCTTCAATGGAAGTACCCGTTACCCAACCGAAAATACGCTTTCTACCTGCCTCGTTACGGATTCGCCGACACCAACCCACGCGAGCTATGGTTCTGAGACACCGATTGTCGAACACCTGAAGACGTCTCAGGTCCGCTGCTCGAATAGGCCAAGTCTCACAGCCATACAACAAAACAGCCCGTACTGTAGCTTGATGCACACGCCCCTTCAGATTCAGGGATAAACCATTCTGACGCCATAGGTGTCTCAAGTTAGCAAACGCTAACCGAGCCTTGCAGA